GGGCTGTAGTTTTGAAATGGAATTTATGTTTTGAGGAATGTCATTCCATGCTTTAGTATAAACATAGAAGAAAGAGTGGAAATGATCACCTGATCTAACTCAGGAGAAGAGAATGAAAGACAACAAGTACATTTCTCAGATTTCTCATTTATAGCAGRATGTTGGAGCCTGTTGCTGGTATCTGACCGTGACTCAGCAGAGGAACACAACAGAAGCATCAACATTTTTGATCAACGTGAACAATTTGCCGTAGGGACCGGAGACACGCTCATCTCTCACAGCGTCGTCTTTCACACCCGGGGCCAGAAAGGATTCAGGTATCACTTCTTCATTCCTCGTCTCCAACGAGCCTGGGAACAGATTCAGTTCAGGGAACTCAGGAAACATTTCTCACCTCCTCCTCTGCTCTTTGACATCCTCATAAGATCAGCTTCTATCGTCGGTTAAACTTTTCTTCTTACAGCTTAGAGTCGGTGCTACTGCTGACCTTACTCTGGTTTAGAATTTAAATTCCAAACTTCTACACCGTTTATTAGTTTATCTTTGTCACAGTTGGACAGAAACACCAGGTTCTTCGTCATTAGTTATGAAACACAAATGAGGCCCAAAGCTGTGAGTGAGAGTCCACCTCTTGATCCAGCAGCTTGTACAACCAAATAACTCTCAAGGATTTTCTGTCAGGTGTTTTAGACCACTCTTCTTTTCAACACTGCTTCGGGTCATTGTTACTCAGCTAAGGTTGAGGTCCGGACTTGTTGCAACACTTTGTTTTGTTTTGTTTTCAGCGTCAGCTGTATCATTTCAGATTCAGATTATTTGTCATTGCACCGTTAAGCACAACGAAATACAGTTCAGAACAAGCCATCCAAGAGAGAGGCAAATACAAACATGGGAGAACAGGTGCCCGTGTCCTGCAGACATAAGAGGCACTAGAACCCTTGAAATAAAAACGAAATACCACATTAGGATAGGTGAGGGGAAAAAAAACAATAACATTTAAGAAATTATTGGAGTTTAGATTTATATAACTGATTTAAATTACATCCACATGGTGTAGTTTTATGATAGAACTGTAATGATTGTTAAATGTGACTGTTTTGCTTAACTTGATGATTTTATATTAATAGATACATGCCTGGAAACAAACCCAACACATAACTGAACCTTTATTTCTTCATTAGAAAAGATTATTATTGTCTGAGGRACGTGGCTCCAAACTGTAGGGACTCCCCTTGCTGATGATGTAATCAAATAGGTGGAGCCAGGCCCTGCAGCTTTTGTTAAAACTGAYAGTACTTCCTTGTTGCAGCCTGATCTCTTTGGCACTCGAATAAACCAGACATCAGCAAGAGTGCTCGTTGGGTTTGTGTGGCTACTCTTTRAAGTACCTGTGACATGTTTATCCTTCAAATACAAAAAGTCAAAGAAAACATCTTTATATTTAAGAAACTTGGCACAATAAATTTTATTTTACTCATTTTGTTACATGGGCATATTTCGTTTTAAATTAGGCTCAAACAAAGTGAAACAGGAAGTGACATCAAAAGGGAACTTATGAAGAGATTAAACTCCCTGGTCTTCATTGAAACAAAATTATTTAAACTCTGACTCTTCATCATCTCTCTGATAGTGACTTAAAATAATCTAAAAAAACATCAGATTCTTCTCAGCAGCTGTTTTAGCAAAGCTCTGTTCACATTCAAACATTCCCCTTTGACATCACTTCCTGTTACTTCACAKAAGAATATCTCAACAACAGTTCATGTCAATGTCATGAAACTTTTTTTTGCAATATTTTATCAATGTTATCTTTCCTAAAATGCATTTATATTAATTACAAAAATTTGATGTCACAGGCACTTTAATAATCCTTTCCATGCTATTGCACATTCTCCGTAAGGTTAAGCACACAGCTGATAAACTAACACGAATAACTACGTTTTCTTTCAACATCATATTATGTCCACTACATGGGACATACTATGTTATTTGTAGAAAAAAAAACTCTGCAGAGCAAGAGCAAGGAGGCTCCGAGCAGCAAAGCAGGGAAGATAAGGGAAGGAAGGAGAGAGGGAAAAAGCGTCCTACTTCTCCGAGAGCAGAAGCAAAATAATAATAATAATAATAAAATAAAATAAATAAGTAAATAAAAATCATTTTGGGATCATTGTTGTTAAATCATGACCCAGTTTATCCAAGCTTCAGCTGTTGGTCAGAGGTTAGACTTGAATCATATTCACACTGTTTTGCTGTTAGTTTCTGTACTTGTGTGCAATAAACTATTTTCCGGCTTTGCTATTTTACTTATTCATAGATCCGTCCGTCCATTTTCTTCCTCTTATCCAGGGTCGGGTCGCGGGGGCAGCAGCCTAAGCAAAGAGACCCAAACTCCCCTCTCTCCAGCCACTTGGGCCAGCTCATCCGGGGGAATCCAAGGCGTTCCCAGGCCAGCYGAGAGACATAGTCCCTCCAGCGTGTCCTGGGTCTTCCTCGGGGCCTCCTCCCRGTGGGACRTGCCCGGAAYACCTCACCAGGGAGGCGTCCAGGAGGCATCCTWACCAGATGCCCGAGCCACCTCAACTGGCTCCTCTCGACGTGGAGGAGCAGCGGCTCTACTCTGAGTCCCTCCTGGATGACTGAGCTTCTCACCCTATCTCTAATGGAGAGCCCAGCCACCCTGCGGAGGAAACCCATTTCAGCCGTTTGAATCCGGGACCTCGTTCTTTCGGTCACTACCCAAAACTCGTGACCATAGATGAGGGTAGGAACGTAGATCGACCGGTAAACTAAGAGCTTCGCCTTCTGGCTCAGCTCTCGCTTCACCAYRACAGACCGGTACAGCGCCCGCATCACTGCAGACGCAGCACCAATCCGCCTGTCGATCTCCTGCTCCATTCATCCCTCATTCATGAACAAGACCCTGAGATACTTCAACTCCTCCACTTGGGGCAGGACCTCCTCCCCGACCTGGAGGCGGCACGCTACCGGTTTCCAGCTCAAGACCATGGTCTCGGATTAGGAGGCACTGATCCTCATCCATCATATATTCATATATCAAAACATCAAAATGTTTGGCGTGATTTACTGTGACTAAATTCATCAACTTTATTTACAAAAACATTGAGAGCTCTTGTATTCCATAAAAAATACAGCTACAGCTTTTCATCATCATCGGTGTTTTCCACGGTTTCTTTTTACCGTTTTGCTAATTTCAGCTTTAAGCTGCTGTTTTTAGGTTTTAACTTTTAGCTTCGATCTACAGCACATTTTTTATTTACCTCTTTGTTCTAACATTTTTCTCTTTTTGGTTTTTGTTTTGCTCCCTTCAGCTTCTCTTTGTTCAAACTTTAACAGTAATTTCAGTTTAAACTTCAGCAGTCACTGCGTCCAAACTATCCTGATGTGCAAAACACTTGAACTCAGAGGAAAGATTCATTTGTTTCTGCATGAATTCAGAGGAAGAGAACAATTTTTCAGACATATCTGCAGGGATGGGTTAACTGTGCTTGACCACATGTTCTGATGGTTGAAGCGTCCATCCACACCAAGAAGCTGTATTTCTTTAGTCCCACTCTCACTTCCTCTCACCAACAATGAAGCGGGGGTCAAAGGTGAAGGAATAAAAGTCCAGGAATTGGTCAGGGTTGACTTCTGCAAACGGAACGACTCCCGTGTGACAAAACACAGCGCCGAGCTGAGCCGAAAGCCAGAACAATCCCAGGTCACCGGGTGACGATGAAAGGCGCATTTAGTCGGATCACATCACAAAGGCAGGAAGGAGAGGAAAAGAACCTTCCTCTTTATTTCAGATGCAGAATCAGATGCTTTATTTACAGAGACTACCTCTACACAGCAAAACCTGTCCACCTAACCAAGTTTTAAAATCTTATATCAGCCAAAAAGTCTTTTTGATCTTGTTTTGAGACTGATTTACTAAACAAGAACTGATTGTGTAAGAATAATCATCTTGTTTTCAGAATGTGTAAGATTCTTGAAATACTTGATTTGACTCTATTTTGTC